GTTAATTGTTGTTGAGCCCCATGCACAAATTCCATAGGTGAGATAGGGGTAAATAAGAGAGTGATAAAGGGCCAGGAGGGCTGACTGTGGAACATAGTACCGTATCTTCGATAGTATGCCTACAGTCTTGGAAATTTTCTTAGAAATTTGTTGTATATGTGTATGAAATTTGAGTATTATCAAGGTGGATTCCTAAGAATTTTCCCTCTGTTAGCTTTGTGATAGGTGATCTGTTTATCGTTATGTTAAGAGGTACATCTGTAGCTCTGTTACCAAACTGAATGAAGTAGGTTTTGTCAATGTTTAGTGTAAGTTTGTTAGTCCTCATCCAGGTAGATATTTTCTGTAATTCAGTGTTTACAGTATTGGCTAGCGTGACTGGGCTCGGGTGAGAGAAGATGTATGTAGTGTCATCTGCAAAAAGTGTGGGTTTGAGTAATTGCGAAGCATTTGGTAGGTCATTTATGTATAGGAGAAAGAGAAGAGGGCCAAGGACACTTCCCTGTGGGACACCAACTGTAATTGGTTGAGCGGAAGAGCTTGCCCCATTTGCGTACACATATTGGCTTCTGTTGCTGAGGTATGACTTGAGGTAGTTGAGGGAGTGCCCTCTAATACCATAGTGTGACAATTTTACATAGAGCAAGTCATGGTCAACTGTATCAAAAGCTTTACGTAAGTCAATGAAGATCCCCAGTGGGACTTCTTTTTTCTCTATTGCAGTGTACAGTGGACCCCCGCATAGCGACTTTAATCCGTGCAAGAGGGCTCATTGTTATGCGAAATGATCGGTATGCGAATGAATTTTCCCCATAAGAAATAATGGAAATCAAATTAATCCGTGCAAGACACCCAAAAGTATGAAAAAAAAAAATTTACCACATGAAATGTTAATTTTAATACACACAAACTGAAAAAGGCATGCACAATTACATGACACTTACTTTTATTGAAGATCTGGTGATGATTGATGGGATGGAAGGAGGGGAGAGAGAGTGTTAGTGTTTAGAAGGGGAATCCCCTTCCATTAAGACTTGAGGTGTCGAGTCCTTTTCTGGGGTTACTTCCCTTCTTCTTTTAATGCCACTAGGACCAGCTTCAGAGTCACTGGACTTCTTTCGCACAACATATCTGTCCATAATGGCCTGTACCTCTCGTTCCTTTATGACTTCCCTAAAGTGTTTCACAACATTGTCAGTGTACAGGTTGCCAACACAGCTTGCAATAGCTGTGTGAGGGTGACTTTCATCCATGAAGGTTTGCACTTCAAGCCACTTTGCACAGATTTCCTTAATCTTTGTAGTAGGCAACTTCTTCAATTTCTCTCTCCCCTCCTCTGAACCAGTTTCCTCAGGTCTGGCCTCTTGCTGTTGAAGTTGATCTATCAGCTCATCAGTGGTTAGTTCTTCATTGTCCTCCTCCACCAACTCTTCCACATCCTCTCCACTAACCTCCAACCCCAAGGACTCTCCCAATGCCACAATGGATTCCTCAACTGGCATAATCCTCTCAGGGTTAGCCTCAAACCCTTCAAAATCCCTTTTGTCTACACATTCTGGCCACAGTTTCTTCCAAGCAGAGTTCAAGGTCTTCTTAGTCACTCCCTCCCAAGCCTTACCTATAAGGTTTACACAATTGAGGATATTAAAGTGATCTCTCCAAAACTCTCTTAAGAGTCAGTTGAGTTTCTGAGGTCACTACAAAGCACCTTTCAAACAGAGCTTTTGTGTACAGTTTTTTGAAATTTGCAATAACCTGCTGGTCCATGGGCTGCAGGAGAGGAGTGGTATTAGGAGGCAAAAACTTCACCTTAATTAAGCTCATGTCCCTAGAAAGTCGCTCTGCCAAGTCTGAAGGATGACCAGGAGCATTGTCTAATACCAGGAGGCACTTAAGGTCTAATTTCTTTTCAATTAGGTAATTTTTCACATTGGGGGCAAATGCATGGTGTAACCAGTCATAGAAAAAGTCCCTAGTGACCCATGCCTTACTGTTTGCCCTCCACAGCACACACAAATTCTCCTTGAGGACATTCTTTTGCCTGAACGGTCTGGGAGTTTCAGAGTGATACACTAATAAAGGCTTCACTTTGCAATCACCAGTAGCATTGGAACACATCAACAAAGTAAGCCTGTCCTTTCATAGGCTTATGTCGTGGGAGTGCCTTTTCCTCCTGAGTAATGTAGGTCCTGCTTGGCATTTTCTTCCAAAACAGGCCTGTTTCATCACAATTAAACACTGTTCAGGTTTCAGTCCTTCACTGTCTATGTACTCCTTGAATTCCTGCACATATTTTTCAGCTGCTTTGTGGTCTGAACTGGCAGCCTCACCATGCCTTATCACACTATGTATGCCACTACGCTTCTTAAATCTCTCAAACCAACCTTTGCTGGCCTTAAATTCACTCACATCATCACTAGTTGCAGGCATTTTTTAATTAAATCCTCGTGCAACTTCCTAGCCACTTTTCGCTTATGATCGCTTGAGAGACGCTATCTCTGCTAGCTGTTTTTCATTTATACACACCAATAAGAGTCTCTCAACATCTTCCATCACTTGCGATCTCTGTTTCGAAAACACAGTTAAACCATTGGCAAGAACAGCTTCCTTGATTGCCTTTCTGTTGCCCACAATAGTAGCGATGGTTGATTTGGGTTTCTTGTACAACCTGGCCAGGTCGGCGACACGCACTCCACTTTCATACTTATCAATGATCTCTTTCTTCATCTCTATAGTAATTCTCACCCTTATTGCTGTAGGGTTGGCACTAGAAGCTTTCTTGGAGCCCATGGTCACTTATTTGGCAGATAAAATCACCAAAAACACTGTAATAATACGAAATGTTCCGATTGTATGCTTGGATGTTACCGCGGAGGCTGGCTGGTAAACAATGCCACCGGCGGCACATGTGAGGCTGGCTAAGGGTGCACATTGGACGCGTCTCGGACGAAGAGCGGTGAGCGGGTTTTTGAGCGGTATGCGAGGCAAAATTTTTGCGATAAAAGCTAGCGGTATGCGGATTGTATGTTATGTGATGGCGACGGTATGCGGGGGTCCACTGTATATATGTTCTAGCATGTGTATAATAGCATCATTAGTATTTTTATTAGGCCTGAATCCAAATTGGCAGGGGTTGAGAATGTTTTGGGAGATGAGGTAGGAGTAGATTCGTTTATGAATTAATTTTTCGAAGATTTTTGAGAGAGGGTGTAAATTGGATATTGGCCTATAGTTATTCAACTCAGTTTGGTCTCCTCCTTTATGGATCGGGGTGACCCTTGCTATTTTGAGAGCTGTAGGGAAGGTGGAGGATTCAATGGATTTGTTAAAGAGTGTTGCAATGATTGGTGATAGTACTTGTGACACTTTTTTGTATATAAAGGGTGGTAAGGTATTTAAATCTCCTGCCTTGTTTTTTAGTGCGTTGATAATAAGGGAGACTTCGTATGGGTTAGTCGGAGCTAGGAACAGTGTGTTCGGGTAGCCATCAGTAACAGCCTCATTGATCAGGCCCTGATCCACCAGGATCAGGGCCTGATCAATGCTGCGGGTTTGTTGATCCCCAGAATGCCCTCCAGTTAGGCATTCCTGGCACTAAGTAACATTTCCTGTGTTTATTAGTTGTGTTTCCAAGTTTACACACAAATTCCATTTTGATTTTTATTCACACAAAAAAATAAAGATTTACTGTTATGCAGTATTGTAATAATTGAATAATTAATAACAGTGCCTTTGTGAATGCTTATTAGACCCACCAGTTGATGTGTATCAGACACATGAAGATTTATTTACTCTTGAACATTGCCGAAAATCAAACATTTCCCCTACTTTGAGCAGTTTCAAGCTATTGTCAGTCCTAAAAGCAATCATCAGTCGTAAAACAAATAATCTCTATTTCTGTAATATATCTTCCATTTTATCAAATGAGACCAAGAATCTGAATACGACCAGAAAAACGCAAAGTCACTGTTGTAAACCAAAAACACGGTCGTATTTTTTTTTCCTCGTGCACAGTGCTGCAGGATTTTTTTTATATGGTGCACATTTACCACTTAGACCCATTTTCTCATATCTAGGCCCAAATTTTCCACTCACAGCTTATCTGAGTGAGCTGAGCTCATGGTGTAGAACAATGGCACGGATCCAGGCTTCAAACCTGTAGAACAACGGCACTGACCCTCAGGTGGTTAAACAGTAGGAATAAAAGTTACTGTAAGCAGTGAAATATCAGAATGAGTGACTCGTAAGTTTCTATATCAGTGTTGGGCCTTGTATTGTTCCTAGTATACATAAATAAATTAACTACAGTTTGTACATGATGACAATATTATATGAATAAAAATGGTAGAGGATAGGTGTGCAAGAAAACCTGGACAGATTTCAGGAATGGTAAAGTAGTCTTTGTCTAACCCTAATGCAAGCAAAGTTTTTAATCTAATAAATGGGAAAGGAGACTGAAGATAGCACCATCTGAAGTGTGAAGGAATCTTACAAAATCAGTAAGACTCATTCTGTATCTTGGATAAGGAAGAATGGAGAGAAAAGATATGATCATAATATACAAAATATTTTGGGGCATAGAGAGGGTAGGTAAAATTGGCTCTTTACCAAGAATAAATGAAGAGGGCAAGTGAAAATTGTGCGTGAGCCCCAGAGAGAGAGAATGTATTAAGCCCCAGAGAGAGAGAATGTATTAAGAACAATAAGAGTTGTAAAGTGAAAGGAACTGCACAGTGACTTGATGGAAACACACTTTACAGGTGTTTCAAACTAGAAATGACAAATGTTTGTCTTGTCAGTATAAAGTGTAGAATGAGTTTGAAGATCAAGAACTCATCCCCACCTCAAATTCAGATGCATAATTGCATATAGAGGGGAAAATTTTTATGTTTATGACCTTTTGCCTTTTTTACATTATAAAGACATAGTTAAACTGTTGTTTTTGATGCATTATAGTAACATTGTGATAGTCTACTTCTAACCTGTTAATATTCTTTCAGGTTGGGCCAGTAGTTAAACTTTGTATGGGCAATGAGCCAGCATTTTATGTTGACAGTGGCCCCCCAACTTTCTGTTTCAATCCATGTGGACATATGGCATCAGAAAAAACCGTCAGGTGAGTCATTACAGTCTAAGTATTTTTCCTGAGCAGTAGTTTGTTAGCAACGTGTAGTTATTGTGAAGGGTTGTTTCTGGCAGTGGCAAAAGGACAGTATAACCTATGACTCCATCACCCACTAATTTATTAATGCAAAACTGATGTTACTAAATATATACCATAAAATTTTAGAAATCAAATATCTTGTTAAACTAGATTTACATGAAAATGCAGGAAGTGTGCATGTACATCTTCATGCACTACACTTGCATAGATTAACTAAAATTATCAGTTACATAGTTCCACTTTGTCAGTGCATCATTATTATACAGTGGCCACAAAAATAATCTAGAAATTTCTAATGCAAAAAAAATCTAAACACTAGATTTTGGTGTATACATTTCACTTCAATTTCCACCATAAGAAAGTGGCAGAGCTTGTGATGGCTTAGTGTACTGGAGCTGGTCTTGCTCCAACATTCCCCACCACCTGGTCACAGACTGGGCTGCGGGGGCATTGACCCCCGGAACTCTCTCCAGGTAAACTCCAGGTAACCCCACTCTTCAGTGCTCTTCCAGAGCTCAATGAATAGGAAGGATTGCTACGTTGTTACTCATTGCCCATTTTTTCACTAGACCACGAACTTTGCCATGCTGTATCTCTGCTCCAGGTTCCCAGAATGGGTTGAACTAAACTTTCAGATGTAGATAAGACTCGAGCACTCGCCCTATGTATATGAGTAGCTGCAGTCCTGAAGACGACTAGGATAGCAGTTTACCATCTCTAGAAAGCAGCTGCCTCACTCCCACCTGGCACTGTACCACCTAGGAAGGTGGGGGTCTGGAGCCCCTAAAAAGACTTCTTTTTGCACAGACAGTGTTATCAGATCCTGCCATAACAGCCGGAGACCTCAAGAAAAAGCATCCTGCACTCCTGAAAGACATGGCAATGCAAACCATTTAGCACCGACTGCAAAAGGACCTGAAAATGTGTCCTCGATGTGCCGCCAAGAAGCCCATGCTAACTGAAGCCATGAAGAAGAAACAGCTTCAGTTCTGCAAGAAGTTCAAGGATTGGCCCTCAGATCAGTGGCAGAAGGCGATGTTCGGCAGCGAGAGTACCTTCAAGCTCATCAGGAGTGGCTCCAAGACCGTCTGTCGTCCCAGTGGTGTGTCCTGTTATGACTCGTGGTATGCTGTGAAGACAGTAAAGCACCCTGACAGTGTTATGGTCTGCGGTGCTTTTAGTGGTTATAAGGGCAGAGGTGGAACATTATGATGAAAGGAAGTAATTATATCGAGGTGTTAAGGGACCACATGCTGACATTTTGGAACATGCACGAGTGTGATTTTTTATTCATGATGGTGCCCCTGCCCATAAGTCAAAAGGAGTGAAAAAGTTCCTCAAGGACAATAATATCAGTGTTTTGGAGTGGCCAGGCAATTCCTGACCTAAATCCTATTGAGAATGCCTGGCATGTGATGAAAAATGAGATTGCAGAAGCTCAACCCACCAATATCACAGACCTGAAGGAGGCACTGGAAAAGCTCTGGCTCAGCATGGATGCCTCCCTCTTCTCCACCGTCGCCACTTCGATGCCCAGGTGACTTCAGATGGTGATAAAGAACAATGGTAGCATGACCAAGTACAGTGGACCCCCGAGTTTCGTGATTAATCCGTTCCAGAGAGCTTGCCTAAAGTCAAAATTCACAAAACTCAAAACCATTTTCCCCATAAGAAATAATGGAAATAAAATTAATCCATTCCAGACACCCAAAAATATTAAAATAAATTTTTTTTTTTTCAAATTAAATAAAGATTTACATAATGAAAACAATCAGAAATCAAGTACATGCATTTAAAAAAATAATAACAACATTACACTTACCTTTACTGAAGACTTCATGAAAACAATCAGAAATCAAGTACATGCATTTAAAAAAATAATAACAACATTACACTTACCTTTACTGAAGACTTCTGCATGGATGGAAGACGGGAGGAAGGTGTACACTGTTTTTTGGAAGGAGAATCTCCTTCCATTAGGACTTTGGTATGAAGTCCATATCTGGGGTTACTTCCCGTCTTCTTTTAATGCCACTGGGAACAACTTGAGTCACTGGACCCCTGTCGCACAAAATATCTGTCCAGAGAGGTCTGTTTCTGGCGTTTCTTTAAGATTTCCCTGAAGTGGGACACAACACTGTCATTGTACATGTTGCCAATATGGCCTGCAACAGCTTTGTTAGGGTGAAGTTCATCCATAAATGTTTGCACTTCAGTCCACTTTGCACAAATTTCCTTAATCTTTGAAGAAGGCATCTTCCTCCATCTCTCTTCCTCCTCCTCTGCAGCAGTTTCCTGAGCTGTGATCTCTTGCTGTTGCAGATGAAGCTCTTGCAGCTCTTCAGTGGTTAGTTCTTGACCGTGGTCCTCCACCAACTCTTCCACATCCTCACCACTCCCCTCCAACCCCAGGGATATCCCCAATGCCACAATAGTTTCCACAACTGGCATAGGCTCCTTAGGGTCAGCCCCAAACCCTTTAAAATCCCTCTTTTACACAATCTGGATACAGTTTTCTCCAGGCAGAGTTCAAAGTCCTGGAAGTCACTCCCTCCCAAGACTTACCTATAAGGTTTATGCAATGGAGGATATTAAAGTGATCTTTCCAGAACTCTCTTAGGGTCAATTCAGTGTCTGAGGTCACTTCAAAGCACTTTTGAAACACTGCTTTTGTGTAGAGTTTTTTGAAGTTTGAAATGACCTGCTGGTCCATAGGCTGGAGGAGAGTTGTTGTATTAGGGGGCAAGAACTTCACCGTGATGAAACTAAACTCCTCCACTATTTGCTCTTCCAAGTCTGGAGGATGAGCAGGAGCATTGTCCAGTAACAGGAGGCACTTGAGTGACAGTTCATTTTCCAGGAGGTATTTCTTCACACTGGGGCCAAACACTTCATTAAACAAGTCTAGGAAAATATCCCTTGTGACCCATGCCTTACTGTTAGCCTTCCACATCACACACAAATTACTCTTGGCGACACTGTATTTCTTGAACACTGGAATTTTCAGAGTGATACACCAGTAAAGGCGTCACTTTAAAATCCCCACTAGCATTACTACAAAATATGAGAGTAAGCCTATCCTTCATAGGCTTGTGTCCTGGGAGTGCCGCTTCCTCCTGCGTGATGTAGGTCCTCTTTGGCATTTTCTTCCAAAAGAGGCCTGTTTCGTCACAATTAAACACTTGTTGGGGTTTGAATTCTCCAGTGTCTAAGCACTCCTTAAACTCCTGTACAAACTTCTCAGCTGCAATTTTGTTAGAACTGGCAGCCTCACCATGCCTTATCACACTGTGAATGCCACTACGCTTCTTAAATCTCTCAAACCAACCTTTGCTGGCTTTAAAATCGCAAGCATCACCACTTGTTGCAGGTATTTTCTTTAGGAGATCACCGTGCAACTGCCTTGCCTTGCCTTTTCACATATTATCAACTGCGAACACTATCTCCTGCTAACTGTTTTTCGGTAATCCACACCAACAATAACCTCTCCACTTCTTCAGGGATTTGTAATCTCCTTTTTGTCAGCATATCTACCCCTTTTGCAACAACAGCACACTTTATTTCCTTTCCTTTCGCCACGACCAAAGTGATGGTTGAATGGGGTTTGCCATACATCCTGGCAAGCTCTGTAACACGCACTCCACTCTCATATTTTTCAATGATTTCCTTCTTGAATTCGATCGTGTTCCTCACTTTCTTTACCAAAGGGCTTGCACTAGCTTTCCTTGGGCTCATGGTGACTTATTTAGCAGTTGTAATTGCAAAAAACAATGGATTATTACGTATGAACCCTCGGGGTGATGGTCACGTGTTGGTAAACAATGGCACACCGAGCGTGAATCACGTGGGAGACTGGCTTGGTGTGCGTGGTGATGGGCGGACGGGTACCAGACGGTCGCCGAAACACGAGTCTAATCACGAAACTCGAGGCCAAATTTTTCCAAAAAAACTTGCCGAAGGTCGAATTTCACGAAAGTCGAGGCTGCCGAAACTCGAGGGTCCACTGTACTAGTTGGAAGCTAAAAAGTGAAAATATAATACATGTACATACATTAAGTTGCATTTTTCATTTTATTGTCCAAAAATTATTAATGTATAGATTTTATTTTGTGGCCACTGTATATGGTAAAGTGGTGGTAGCATTTTTAAGTACAGGTTGACCATCACTAATACGGCATCATTGGTACCTGTAGGGTGCCGGATTAGTGATTTTGCTGGTTACAGAGTGGTTAGGTTAGAATATACAACCTAACAGTGATATTTATGCATTGGCAGTTTCACTTTATGCCCTATTTTTGGCCCATTCCATTGTTCCAGTCTACCAAACTCATAGCTGTTTTGCTAGTATTCCGTCTATTCTGTCGATTGAGTACAAGAAACTGCCCATTTACCTATTTCAGCTACCCAATAAAGTGGCCAGAAATTGGTAATTGGCCAATTTCACACAAATTTCAAGAGATGCCAATTTCAAAATAGGATCCAGAATAAACAATGCAGACATTCCTGGCACTAAAATAACATTTTCTCTGTTCATTAATCACATCTCCTGGCCCATCTTATATTACACTTGCTTTGTATTTTAAATTTTTAGTCACACAAAAAATAGAAGATTTACTGTTATACAGACTACTACATTATTGTAATAATTGTATAAATAATGTCTACCCATTCATGATTTTATATTAGACTGGCCAGTTGGATATGTATTGGACGATGACATTTGTTTACTCTTGAACATCAGCAAAAATCAAACATTTCTGCTACTTAGAGCTCAATTTCAAGGTACTATTTTCCATCATGAAACCAATCAAAATCATGTCTATTTCTGTAATATATCTATCATTCTCTTAAATGAGACCAAAAAAACGAGAATACAACCATAAAAACCATATGAAAATACACCGCAAATTCACTGATTTACACCAAAATCATGATCTGTTTTTTCTCGTACACTGCATGCTGTAGGATTTTTTATATAGCGCACACTTACCACACAGACCTATTCTCTCATATTTAGGCTCAAATTTACTTGTCACAGCTTATCTGAGTGAACTGAGCTGATGGCAACCGACATTGGCTTCAAAGCCACCTTATCTTTTATGGACAATGTGCGGTGTTTGTGCATTACATATTGAGAAGCATTTCTTTTATTCATTGGAACCATGACTAGGGCTAAAAGTGAGAAGGTTATAACAATAAATATAGAAAAAGACATTAGAATGACTTGTGCAGCAAGTAGCGCCACCAAACAGTATTGGTAGGTTGGTGTGGCGACCCCAGAAATTTGAAATTATGCTAGCCAAAACTAGTGCCAGATTACTGATTGCCGGATTAGCAACCTCCATTACTAATAAATTATAAGTTATGCTGAGCAGCACTTGAAAAGTTTATCATGCCAGTTGGTGAGTGTTAGAAAACAGACATGTGAGGAACTGAGTAACTTGGTTCCATAATAGAAACTGAGAAGCCAGTAGCAAGATTTACACATTATAGTTGGGAGGGGTGTTGGCCAGTGTTTGAGGCATTGAGGTTATGTTTGAGTAAGTGGGTGGGAATTATTCTCATAAAGTTAGTAAGAAAGGTCTATGACTTGTCAGCATCACCAAAGTAAATTCACAAGTATTAAGCAACAAACTGATGCTGTGAGATTATAACTCTGGACTGTGTTCATAGTAGCATTTCTACCTATTTAATAAGGTAATGCCTTAAGATTATTCAATATATCAAGTTGTATTGTAATAAAAGTAACAGTTATATGTAAGTTGCAATTTTTAAGATTTCTTGAATAGATAAAGCCACATTGTACAGTACATAGGAATTTCTAGAGATCTATTTTTTTTTTTTAATAAATTTATATTAAAATGGTTATTAAAACATTTTTTGGGTTGTGAATGCTGCAGCAAGGAGGAGGCTGGAGGCCTTGGAGATGTGTTAAAGGGCATTGTGTGGTGTAAATATTATGCAGAGAATTTGTAGTGCAGAAATTAGGTGGTGTGGAGTTACTAAAAATATTAGTCAGAGGGCTAAAGAGGGGTTGTTGAGGTGGTTTGATCATTTAGAGAGAATGGAACAAAGTAGAATGACTTGGAGAATGTACAAATCTGTAGTGGAAGGAAGGCATGGTAGGGGTCATCCTAGAAAAGGTTGGAGGGAGGGAGGTCAAGGTTTTGTGGGCAAGCAAGCATGCGTGAACGTGTTAGATAGGAATAAATGAGAATGAATGGTTTTTGGGACCTGATGAGCTGCTGGAGTGTGAGCAGGGTAATATTTTGTGAAGGGATTCAAGGAAACTGGTTAGCCGGACTCGAGTCCTGGATATGGGAAGTATAATGCCTGCAATGTAAAGGAGAGGATTGGGATATTTTCTGTTTGGAGTGACATCTAAACTGTCGTATCTGAGCACCTCTGCAAAGACAGTGATTATGTATGAGTGATGGTGAAAGTGTTGAACGATGATGAAAGTTTTTTTCTTTTTGGGTCACCCTGCCTTGGTGGGAAATGGCTGATGTGTAAATTTTTTTTTTTTTTTTTTTTAATTTTTTTTTTTCCAATAATAACAACTGGAATTTGAAAGAAAAGACAATGATAGTGACAGAAATACTTTTATAATTACACTTTATTTTGGTTGTCATGTTAGATGTAAAGCTATATTGCAGAAAAGCAAATTAAAAAATATGATTCCTATTATAGATAAATATGGTACGTGTACTGATATGAAGACAATATGCAAAACAACATTTACCCTGAGTGTCGTAACTTAATAAAGTTAGTCTCTTAGCTTTTTCAAGATATTATAAAGGTCAGTCTTGAGAAAAATGTAAAATATAAGCTTGTTGTGCATACTGTCTTCATACCCATACCCGTCTTCACTTTTCTACACTTATATAAAGTATTTTAATTATTCTTGTCACATACCCATACCCATCTTCACTTTTCTACACTTATATAAAGTATTTTAATTATTCTTGTCACATACTCCATTAATTGTGAGTGTTAACCAACAGGTACTGGGCTGCGGTACCAATACCACATGGAACTAATGGGTTCCATGCAGCATGTCCATTTTGCGCCTCTCCACTTGAAGGTGATCCAGGGTTTGTTCGACTCATATTTCAAGACAATTGCGATTAATTCCCTCCCTTTATACATTGTAGTATTATGTATAGACAACCTCTGGAAATATATCTCCACCCTCGAGTTTAATTTGCACTCAACGTATTATGTTAATCAAGCCGGTTAAAAAGAGTGAATCTTAAATGCCACTTAATATCATTAAATCTGTGTTTTTATGCAACTAGGACATTGCTTGTTAAATTTTTACAAAATGAAATTAATAATACAGCCCAGTTTATTGGGTTGCACTAGCCCCTGGAAGATGTGTGCATTGGTTTTGAGTGATTTTTGTGACTGCTAAAATGAGCAAGGCCAGCACTCGTAACTATGCAGACGATACAATGGACTTGATGGCCACCCAGACACCTTACACGCTGCTTCTCACTCACTGGTCGATGGAGTGCACTCGGAACTCTCTCCCACTCCAGGAGCACAGAGTAAAAACTAATGCACTGGATCGATTTACTGATATCACATTTATATTTTGAAGACGTCTGATACATTTAAATACATTAGATAAAATGGGTAAGTTGTATCATGGTACTATTAGAATGTGTGTTTAGTTCATTGGTTGGGGCTAAGTGCCTTATAAGTGCAGACATTGTCTTGTGTATATCTCATGGAGGTGAGATGAAGCTTTAAACATAATATCATTGAGAATATAGTTACTTGGTTAAAAAAAAAATCATTAAATATAAGTAGGTGTCACTGGGTTCATTATCCTCACCTTGGGGGCAGCATTGTAATAATATCTACAATTGGAAAATTGCATTTCGTGTACTGGATTTGTCAATTTTTAAAGGGATAAGTATAAGTAAACTTGACAGTCTTCAATAGCATAACTAATTACAGCTGATCTGAACTTGTACTGTGCCATCTTTCACTTGGTGACTGTATTTGAGAGTCAGAAACATATAGCAGACTGTGTGAGGTACAACAACACACTGTGAAAATGATGATTGGAAAGTATAAATGAAGAGTTATATATTTTCCTCTTGTGTATGTGTATGTATGTATATAAATGTATGTGTATATTAAGTGTATATATGCATGTGAGCATGTATATATCGCTTGCTGCGTGGTGTGGGGAGGGGATGTAAAGTGAAGGTATGGGTGCCTTCTATATGCAACAACTAAGAATACAATACCTATGGCCCAACTGGTGTCAAGGTTTTTGACAGTTGTAAATCTCTGGTCGTGGTTACTCTGGTGCACATTACAATAAGGTTTTTACACATCGAGGAAAGTTTAGGTTACACTTTAAGAATCACTTTTTAGCTTTCATTTTATGGTGGATCTTGATAAATGAGGTTTTACTGTATAGTACAGTTATTGTACTGTACAAACTGTGCAGTTTTCCAGGAGGGAAGTGAAACCAGGCAGTGATTCTATTTAATGTTTTGTTCATGACTGACTGCTTACTAATAAATATTATGTGAATTTCTTGAGCCTGAAAGTATTGGTATTTGTTTAACAAAGTATGGTAATTATAATGAAAATGTAATCTGTGTAGAATATGTTGAGGTCTTTTATTTAAACTGTGTAATTCAGACAAATACTTTTCAGTTAAATATAATATGTACAAATAAATAAATGGGATATAAATAAAGTGCTGAAAAATATTTAACCAAGCCATGATTTTCAGCAGTGGATTCAGGTTGGACAAATTTAAGTTTAGAAAGCATATGGGAGAGCACTAGTTTGGCTGGGTGGACCAAACTCCCAGGTGGGTGAGAGTTATCTGCCTAGCATAGGCCAGTAGGCCTGCAAGAAAGGACATATTTTATTTGATGACAAACTTTAATGAAATAATTTTTCCATAGAAATGCGAGTAAAGTTTAAAATTGATGCAACGGAATACTGTATAGTCAAAAATTAGTCTTTTTAGGGATAATTTACTGTGCTTGAAGATTGGTACATAAATGGAAATGGAGGAAACAACAAGGCTGACAAGATGAATTAGCATGCAGTGCACATCTTATTCCAATAAGTGGTATGTATTTATCCTTAATTAAATACACTGGAACTGTATAGTAAACCAAGTGTAGCAATGTCTGATGGTTCTGCCTTACTTTTTATTGCCATTTTGACTTAAGATTCACATAGTAATTTGTAGGCATCACTTCTCACCAGTGTTATGCATTAAATACTTATTGCATTAATATACTTATTCTATAAAACAAGTTTTAGGCTGTTTACATTGCCTTGAAATGTCAAACTAGAATAAATTGCTCCACTAGAAATAAACCAAGAGTTTATTTTATTGTAGTTATGGAATTTTCAACGCTAAGACGACGACAATGTGTATCTCATATTGTGATCCCAATATTATGATACTTTAGTTCCATAAAGGTATACCACTGATATAGCAGCTTGATGCCGTGAAGTATTATATTACCTTCACAGGTCACCTTCACCCTTAAGGCAAGATGCCTTGATGCTGCTGAAGCACTCTTAATGCTGTAAGTTAAAACTACCTTCCTATTCTTCATATCAAACCTGATTACTTCCCTTTTCCAAGGCACTGCATAACCCGTATGGGTTTAGCACTTCCACTTAATTTATGTGTACGGGCAGACCACTTGACGTTCATTTAAATAGCAAGTTTTTAATAAAATATTTATGCTAAAAAAGATCTATATGTTGAGTGAATTGTGTGTTTATGCCCACATTTGTAGAGTGCACTCAGGAAATCCTTTTAGTAGTAAGTCAGTGTTAGTCTTGTATCTGGAGTTTATCTGGAGAGAGTTCCGGGGGTCAACGCCCCCGCGGCCCGGTCTGTGACCAGGCCTCCTTAGGTCAGTGTCCCAGGATGCGACCCACACCAGTCGACTAACACCCAGGTACCCATTTTACTGATGGGGAACATAGACAACAGGTGGAAAGAAACACGTCCAATGTTTCTACTCTGGCTGGGAATCGAACCCAGGCCCTCACCGTGTGAAGCGAGAGCGTTAACGGAAAGTTCACAGTTATATTTGAAGCGGTAATAGCAGTTTAGGTAAGAGTTGGAATACATCAAGTGGTCAGAAATATTGCTAATGGAAATGTCTATTGATACTACTATCACATTATTACATAAATGACCTTCATATTTTTATTTATACATAATTGATTTTTGTTTTTAAGGTTGTGTATTCCTGATCATTCCTGCTTATGCTGTATAAGAGTAACTTAATGTCAGTGAGAGACTCTTGATCCAAGACACTGAACTACTTGTTCTGGAGATCAAATCTGATTTCCTTTCATTCCCCAGGTGTTATTACCCCTGTGGGTTTAGTGCCTACTCATAATGTATGGATGTATACGTACATGTATGACTGTGTGCATATGGATCTCAGTCTCAGAATTGAAAACAGTTCACAGTTGCTTAAAAATGGCCATTTTCTCGAGTTTGATAGTTGCCTTGTATGAAAATCATATATATGCACATTGAAATTAGTCTTTAATGTATTTTTTCAGATTTAAAAAAAGAAAAAGAAAAAAGGCATTTTAACTATTAACCCTTAAAATGTCACTTTTGTCGATCCATTATTGGGGCCAGTGGCGCTTGTGTAGATCTTTGTGATTGGGGCCAGTGGCGCTTGTGTAGATCTTTGTGATACTCCTAGCACACTCAGATATGCTGTGACTGGTAAATTTTGGCTTGGACATGAAAGAATGGGTCTGCACAATGGGTGGGCATAGTATAAAAAAAAAAACCTAGCTACACAGTGCATGATAAGAACAGTTAACTTTTGATCTTGTTTGGATTAAAATAGTGACTTTGAGGTATTTTCAAGAGTGGTTTCACGGTTTTATTGACACTTGATAGAGCACGAGACATACCAGTGAAATGAAGATGATCCTGGACAGTTTCAAGCCAGAAATGGTAAATTTTTAGTGATTTTTTTTCTGGGTTTTTACTAAGTCTGCTTCAGTTATGTGGGATGACTTAAACCATGACAGAGCATTCTAGGCTATTATTTATTAGTCGAAAAATGGAAAAATTTGACTTGTGTGATTCAAAATGGAAGGTAAGAGTTTTATAGGGGCAGATTGGTGACATGATTAGTGAAGAGAGGGAAGGTGGCTTTAGTGGCTGAAATGCATAGTTTTCATTTTGGAATTTGTTGAAAATTGTGTAAGTGGCTAAATTACTGAATTCTGGGCACTTGATAGGGTAGTTTCCAATACATCCAACTTAATGTCTTGAACTATTGAAAGCCCCTAAATTAAATGCCCCAATTGTGTTGAAATTTAAAAAAAAATCAGTGTAGAGAATGTTTTACTAAAGGGAAAGATCCCCCCCTCCCTCCCAAATTTAAAAAAAATTGGTAGTTACAGAATTATGCAGGTGTGAAGTTAAAGGTCGTGGAGAACTTTACACAACAGTAATTTTACCTTCGTTGAGGTCTCTTGTAAGCCAGTTCAAGTGCTTCAACTGATCCAATTCTCTGCTGTTTTGCTAATTTATTTTCTCTACTATTTATTGATCTCAAGAAGCTGTTCAATCAGCCATCCTATTAAATACTCAAGAGTCGAGTCATTTGTCCAATTTTATACTTTTCAACAATTTCCCAAGTCTAAAATAAAACTCGGATATTCCATCCACTAAAGCATTCTCTCCTGTGTTCATTAATTGCATCCCCAGGTGTTTCTATATAATATTTGCCATCCATTTTCAATCCATCACACAGCAAAAATCTAAGTTTTCCCTATTTCTCAGATAAGCGTGATCAAGAATGCATGCTCATGATTCAGGTTGTTTTAGTAACTGAACCTAACCTAGTAATAAAGAACTAAAACAGGAAAATCTCCCAAATCAACCATTTTGTCAACTTGATATCTATTTCAGTCCATTAAAACACCACCCTGGAAAATACCCTAAAGTTGCTATTTTAACCCAAACATAGCATCAGAGGTTAGTTGTTGCCATCATTCAGTGCACAGGGCAGGATGTTATGAGCTAAAGCCCAAGAGCTGCCTTACTTATGTCACCATTACAGTGACTTCAAGCTTACCAAGAATGGCAAATGTTTTTGGTTAAATATTTAAGAATTAGTGTGTGCAGTATAATGGACTTTTAAAATTATGGGCAAAATCCACTGGTTAAATTGGACTTTTAACTCCTTTATTTTTAATGTTTATTGTAGTATATCTGTAAATTGTGTGTACAGTATTAGGTGTATGGTAGAGTACTTCAGTGCTTTTTTTGGATTTTTTTTTTTATGCTTTTCTGATTTAATGATATATAATTTTTTTTATACATGCTGGCCATCTTCCATAAAGGCAGGGTGACCCAAAAAAGAAACACTTTCACCATCATTCACACTTACATGCTATCAATCTATCTGTTTATTACATGCATGCCCAAATGCACGAGTAAGTTCATAACACTCATGTTTCCTGGGATCTCTCAGATTAGCTCTTAAAACTACTTTAGTGGTCTGGTGCGAGTCCAGTTACAGGTCTGGAACCATGGCAAGGAGATATAAATTGAGCGAGTCAACTGAAGAAGATTCCTATATACAGTAACGTAGGTACTGTACCAGCAATGGTACAATAAAATTCCAGTGAAAAATATTTTACAGAAATCAAGTATAGTGAGAGAGCAGTGACATAATACAAGCTAACAAGTTCCTCACTAATAACCCTCCTTTATTATTTAGGTAACTGCAACAGAGATGACGACTCTAAACTTGAAAGTGATCCCAATCTTCTACTACTACTACTAGTACTACTACTAGTAATACTAGTACTAGTACTACTACTAGTAATACTAGTACTACTACTAGTAATACTAGTACTAGTACTACTACTAGTAATACTAGTACTAGTACTACTACTACTACTACTAGCACTACTAGTACTAGTACTAGTACTACTAGTACTACTACTACTAGTACTAACTACTAGTAGTACTACTAGTACTACTAGTATTACTATTACTACTATTACTATTACTATTACTACTATTACTATTACTACTATTACTATTACTACTATTACTATTACTACTACCACCACCTCTACCTCCTCTTCCACCACCACAGTTGGCAGTTAATTTATCTCTAATTTTTGTGTTCACTGGTGTAACAGTAGTGTGTGTTGTGTGTATGTTGTATAAAAGTGTGTGCATGTTTTCATATACACAGTTCATACATTTGTGTGCATTTACCTGTTTGTAATTCTGAATAAATATATTTGTGGTGTTCAGTCTTATTTAATGTATGATAACTTTTTTTTTTGCAGCTTACTATGGTTGTGGTGCATATTCCCACTTGTGTGTTCCCATTCCAACTATCATCCAGATTTTTTGCATCACTTTTTAACTTTGGGTTTGCCTCCTCTTTTTTGCACTACCTAATCTAACTTGCTGCTATTTACTGTTTACTAGCCCACTCTTACCCTTGATAGTTGTGTGCCGCATGATGACTTTTTGGTCAACGACAGACTGCATATACGATGGTAGTGTAAACAAACCTACTGCACTGCCAGTCATATAAAAGTATAGCACATGCAATTATGTACAGTACATAATACTTGATAATGATAATAGACAACTAAGTTACTGGTTTATGTATTTACTATACTGTACTTTTGATTGTTATTCTAGAGTGTACTCTTTCTACTGATATAAAAAAGTTTACTGTAAAACAGTATGGGGTGTTACACCGGCAGTAGCCTCATACATCTGGTGTTTATCGTGTATCTTGATAGCCTCATTTTCCCTTGTGCTTGATGTAATCTCATGTTTTTATTAACCCTTTGAGGGTCGACAGGCCCTCTCCGAAACTCGTTCTCAGGGTCGGCCAAATTTAACCCTTTGACTGTTTCAGGCCCCTCTCTGAAACTGTCATTCTATGTCGCTCAATTTTTGAAAAAAAAAAAATTATTTTTTCTTATGAAATGATAGAGAATCTTTTCCCGATGGTAATGACACCAAAAGTTCGAAATTTGGTCGAAAACTCGTGGAATTATGCTCCCGCGAAGTTAGCGGTCTCGGCGACATATGCGTATCGGCGATTTCGCCGACTTTGAGCCCAATTTTCAGCCAATTCCATTGTTCCAGTTGACCAAACTCATAGCTATTTCTTTAGAACTCCATTTTATCTATCAGCTGAGCACAAGAAACCTCCCATTTACTAATTTGGACTACCCAATATGGTGGTCAGAAATTGGCAATTTGGCCAATTTCACGCAAAATAAAAAAGATGCCAATTTCAAAATAGGGTCCAGAATAAACAAGGTAGACATTCGTGGCACTAAAATAACATATGCTCTGTTCATTAGTCACATCTCTAGGCCCCTCTTATATTATTATTGCTTTCTATTTTGATTTTTTATTCATACAAAAAAATACAAAATTTACTGTTATGCAGACGACTACATTATTGTAAAAATGGTATAAATAATATCAGTGCACTAGTGAAAGAATATTAGACTCCCCAGTTGACGTGTATTGGACGTGTGGTGTGATTTATTTACTCTTGAACATTGGTAAAAATCGAACATTTCCGCTACTTTGAGCTCAGTTTCAAGGTCGTTTTCATCGTAAAAGTAATGAAAATCGTCTCTATTTCTGTAATATGTTTTCCATTTTATCAACTAAGACCATGAAAACGCGAATACAACGATAAATACTATACGAAAATACACCTCAGTCGGCGTTTTATTCCAAAAAAAACGATCAGAGTTTTTTTTTTCTCATTACGCAATGTGTGCTGCAGGATTTTTTTTATGTGGTGCACACTGACCACACAGACCCATTCTCTCACATGTGGGCCTACCAGCTTTCTCCCACTTGATTTGAAGCCGCTAGAATTATTGAGTATATATACGTCAGAAACATTGGCTCGTAAGACGTATTTATACGTCGAAAACAGTCAAAGGGTTAAAAAAAAAAAAAAATTATTTTCTCTTATGAAAAGATAGAGAATCTTTTCCCGATCATAACGACACCAAAAGTTTGAAATTTGATAGAAAACTTACGGAATTATGCTCTCGCAAAGTTAGCGGTCACGGCGATGTTTACGGATCGGCGATTTTGCCCACTTTGAGCCCCATTTTCGGCCAATTTCACTGTACTAGTCGACAAAAAACATGAATATTTCGCTAGAACTCCATTTTTTCTATCGAATGGGTGCAAGAAACCACCCATTTATAAATTCAACTATCCAGTACAGTGGTCAGAATTTAGCAATTTTGCCAATTTCACACAAATTTCAAAAGATGCCAATTTCGGAATAGGGTCCAGAATAAACAAGAAAGACATTCCTGGCACTAAAATGACATTTCCTCTAGTCATTAGTCACGTCTCAAGGCCCCTCTTATATTCTTTTGCTTTCCACTTTGAATTTTTATTCTCACAAAAAATATAAGATTTACTGTTATGCAGACTACTGCATTAGTGTAAAAAATGGTATAAATATTATTGGTGCACTTGTGAAAGAATATTAGACTCACCAGTTGACGTGTATTGCACGCTTGGCACGATTTGTTTACTTTTGAAGTTTGGTAAAAATCGAACATTTCTGCTACTTTGAGCTCAATTTCAAGGCACCTTTCATTGTAAAACCAGTCAAAATCATCTCAATTTCAGTAATATGTCTTCCATTCTATAAAATGAGACCAAGAAAACTAGAATACAACAATAAATACCATACGAAAATACACTGCAGAGTCGCTGATTTATTAAAAAAAAATGGAAAGTTTTTTTTTCTCATTATGCACTGTGTGCTGCAGGATTTTTTTTAGACTGTGCACACTGACCACATAGACCCATTCTT